GGGGGTGAATATTCATATACTCGTGTTCTGCCCGACGGATTTCTTTTGAAAGCGATTGTTTTTACTGTATGTGAACATGATTATATGAATATTCACCCCCCCCATTATCGCGTCTAGTTACGGCCCTGATCACAGTCTTTACTAATACAGTGCACCCTGCCACCCTGTGTTTTTTTTTTGTATCTGATATCAGTTAAAGTCCACGTCTCAGTCATAAAAACGAGGCTCTATAACCAAGGTGTTTCCGAACTTTCCAAAAGGCCTGCTTGCGAGAACGCGAAAATGTACGACGTCTTTCCAGTCTGATTTTCCCTTCCCTGATATTCAGGTTATACTAATTGCAGAGATCACAACCAAATGCCTGACTGCACTTACCTCAAATTGCAGATCAAATTGGTCGGTATTTATATTGTTTAGGTTTGATTCAATGATTTTTGCAGACTTGCGTGCCTAAAATTTGTTCGAGCAGTAAAAAAATTATTCAAGTGAACGAAGTGAATGTCATCTCACTGATCCTTTTCAAGACTACGAGAAAAGCAATCTCTGTTGAGTTGATAGAAAAATTACTGCATGTTATTCACAAATTACTGTTAATAATTTATTATGAAATTACTTTTTTCTTCTTAGAAACAGTCGCGTTATCATCTTGTGGATCACCGCCATCACCCTCTCCAGTTCCATCTTCATTAGCATTTTCTGCTCTCCCCAGACCTCCTAACATCTTGTATGCTTGAGCATGGATAGAATCAACTCTCCCAGCATAAATTTTAGCTCCAGCATCTAGAGTACAACTGGCAATCTAATAGGTAATAACACAATATTATACAAGTATAGAATACTGTATTTGGTTCATGTTTAACACAGTTATCAACCCTGTTCCCAGGATCTTACCTGCCCACTCCACCTCCTGTTGGGGGGGGGGGGGCATGGTGAAACCATTGGGAACAGGCTGATTAACTATTATCATAATTCAACTCACTTCTTTGGTAAATAAATGTCTAGTTTATTGTTAAATTAGTACTGATTATAGATTAAATTTTATACTAGAAGAAAAAATTCTGATGAAAGAATCAGAATTTGTTAATTGACAAATGACAAGTGGGAGGTGACAACTCCTTTCCTGATATACACTAGTAGGGGGGAGGAGTTCACATCCCTTAGTCTGCATAGCAGGTGGTATTAGCAGGCACAAGACAATCTATGCAGGCTACACATCCCTATACCTGGGGGGG